AGTCCCTCCTTCACACTGCGGTCATTCAGTAATCAATATCCGTCGGATTCATTGGATCTAGCTTTTCATTCCATTTCATTTACTCCGTACCAGTTCGAACAATGGAAATTTGTGTGTTGGACCACAAAAAACCAAACCCCTCTTCTCCTCCTTGAGGGTTTCTAGCTCTACGAATCCTTCCGGTTGGTTCACATTTCATCTGGTTGTAGTCTACGGGACGTTTCCATGACACCACTTCCCATCGAGAGTCCTAATTGTCCGACGAAACGATCTTGTCTCATATCGGCTGGAATTTACGATGTAATGCAAGGACTTGTACTTCCTTCTTTGCTAGTTCAATAGCTTTATTCACCTTACTTTGAGACTGACTTTGACTGGAAGTCGCCTGAGTGCATCGAAGTTTAAGACATTTCCATCTAGCAGTGGTCCTGCCGAAAATGCAGCTCAAAGTGCAACCAGAGACGTAATTTTGCAAAATCTTTATTGTTTATTCAATGTTTACTCTAAGACTTATTTCATGACTTGCTTTGTTTACGTGTTTTTGGTAGCCCACCAAAAGATTGCTTAACGTTTCATCTAAGAAATACGCCATATGGGCCTGCGCCATCGCAAAATAGGGGGATGCTGTGGATTTGAGCTCTCTATCAATCTGGTTGCCGCTCTTCAGCCCTTCATTGTTTTGTTTGTGTTTGTTTTGCTCTCAAATTCCTATGCTATCTATCTTCTTCTTTTGATACATTTTACAACTTGTACGTACACTAAATAATTGGGTAATTTTCATTACAAAAAAAAAAGGTAGCCAGGTAGACGTTCCGGTGAGTGTCATTTCAATTTGCACCGAGTTTTTGAGTAAAACTACCTGGAATGTCGACTATTCCGTGGTTGAGAAGAATTTCATGACACTTTTTATACTTCAACGGTTTGCATAACTGCACCTGTGAAGGACCTTTGTGAAAAAAGCCCCCCTGAATGGGGCCGTTCCCGTCCAAGTTAGGTTCGGTCACACAAAGCGATGCAACCTCTTTTGCACATCCCATTTTCTTTCTCAACATTCAAAGCTTTAGGAGAAAGCGCTATAAAACGCCTGCCCGACAAAACTTTGACGGAACGCGCCATGCATCGGACTTTTCCTCAGAGATGAGGTAGCATTTCAAAAAGCTATTCGGCCTATCTAATGAATATATTAAGCAGTCAATATAAAACCCCGTGTAATCGCCCTGCCAGGGTCAGCGGGTGAACATTACCAAGCTGAAGAGGATGTAGGTGTACGAGCATTATCAAGCTGAAGGGGATGTAGGTGTACGAGGATAGCGCTGGTGACCATACGCCGCATATTGACGCCACTTCTCATTGCGCCACGCCGCTCATTTTTCGCAATATTTGAAAACATTTATTACCATAATATTCGTGTAAGATAGATTTCCTGGTCCAAGACATTTTAATCATTATTTCAGAAATAGGATATTGTTCAGGGCCAATCAATAGTTCCTAGTCGCGCCATGCGCTCAACTTTCGTCCGAATCGAAAAAACCACTGAGTAGGTACTCATGTTCTCTGTTGAGCCATTTCTCTACGATGTCAATCGAAATCGCTGATTTTGCCCTTGGGCTTGGCCCTAACATTCCTCCCATGACGTGATTCAAAGTCTGCTTTGATAATGTGGGAGTCCGTCTCTTACCCGTCCGTGTAAATAAGCATGATGTCACAGTTCCAAGTACTTATCCTGCCAGACAGCACAAGCAACTATCCACTTCAGCAATTCGTACTTAGGGCTTGTTCCAATCCGCCGGAATACTAATTAGTCAAAGTTTTCCAATCAAATCAGTTCCGCCCACCAACGTCATATAAAAATGGAAATGAGTCATGAGCCTATGTTTCCTTTTCTTTCATCGTTTCTTCATTGGAGTATGAGGTGATTCGTGCCTAAAAGCGCTTCGCGATGAAGGCTGGTTGTCCCTATCATAACAGATATCTCATACGTTTCTAATCTTTTCATATTGCCCGTGCAACGATTAGAACCCGGTTGGGTTTGCGCAACAAGCCGGTATTCCCACGCACAAGCAGCCACCTGGGATCTTGGTAAATTTACTTGCGTTCCTGGGTTCCACTGCACTCGAAGAGTAGGCTATTCTATTTTCTTGTTCTTGTCCAATAGGAGTAATTCATCCAGCTCTTCAAAGTATTGGATTCCAGAACCACTTTTTCGAACTACTCCGTTGATTTGATACGCTGCATCTCTTTTATTCATTCGTTATCAAGCTTTCATTTGATTGGAATCGTATTATCTCTCTATGCACTCAATACGTATCGATCAGCTGTGCATTCCCATCCGTGATTCTCGTAATGGGCACGTACCTGCCACAAAAGGAGACCCAGATCTTCACATTTACGATTCCCTTGATTACCCATGTCTGACATAGAAACTCAAGTGAACATCAAGGTAGTTGAGTGTTCCTCATCTAGGCTCAATAAATACCTCTCTGACTGGTCAAGCTAACTGATTTAGTGGCTCCCAAACACTTTGTCCTATGGGATAGCAGGAACCTTCACTACCCACTGCTTTTGTAAGTTAGATTCCTACCACTGGAAGGGGAAGGCGTTTGAGAAGTGAGGATGAAATTACGATTTTAGGTGTTTCGATTTCTATTTTCTCATATAAAATTGCTTAAGTCGTCTGAGATTGATGGGTTTACTTTCGACACGAGACACGCCCAGACAGTAGGTTTTTTGAGTAAGTATTTCGCAAGTACTGTACTATAATTGGAGCCATCACATGGAGTTCGAGCCATTTTTCATCTGACACTTGGAGATCGTGAGGGCTTACCCGAATCACAGCCTTGTTCAATCTGGACAAGAGTTGGTCGATGGACATCCGATGAATTAATTTCTCTGCCTTGAAGGCGCCCACTTCATCTACAAATAGTAAATCGTGCTTCGATCCATTACCTACTCTTCAACCCTGTTACCATAGAACCTCATGTAGGACAATTTTGTTCCAGAAAACTCTCTTTAAGTGATAGCGATGGTCTGAATTAATTCCAAAGGCGTAAATTCAAATGTCCTTCAATAAATTTGTAATTCATGCAAAGTTCTCATGACGTTTTTATACATTTGCAAACATACGAGTCACTATTCTCTATAACAATCATATTGATTCGATGATCGTGTGGCTTCCTCTGACTTTAGTTCGTTTTTTCGTTTTAATTGATGTTTTCGATGAAATTTCCTTATTTAATAATAAACTTCACTTTGAAGAATTATTTTTAAAAATATTCTATTTCAGATAGACGGTGCTAATCGTAGACTTTCACTTAATCAATGAGTATTACGAAACACCGGGCCAAGGTGTTGCAGGAGGTGTTCTCACTACCAGGTTGGTTAACATCCTCGTTTTTCGCAAGATATTACTCGATATTAAATTTTTATTTAATTTTTTAAATAATGTGTTTTCATTGATTTCTCTTCAATTTCTAGAAAGTTTAAAAAGTTTGTAAAAAAAACTGTGACTACGCCCGTGTTCTATGCCAGTCTTGAGTAGAACTATTGTTCCTGACCAACAAGTCCTCGTTGCTGCAGCTACCAATTAGGGTCAAAACTACACGACATTGTTCATAGAAGGGTAATCGTAAAACGCGACTTTTTTGAAAAACTGTTGAAAGCATCAAATACCTATCGAGCGAATGAATCGTGTAGTCACAAAACGTGTAGTGAATTAGAAGTAGAGCCACTCAAATGATGCTCATAATTTTAACCCGCCCCAGGGTTTCCTTGTATTCAATTATGAACTGTTTTCTATCCTCAGTTGAAGCATTACTGGCTAAGGTCCTTCCCTTAAACGTAGTCGAGGGATTCCCTTGAGTTGTCTATCCTGAAAGAACATTATTGGCTCCAGTCCTTTCCCCCTCACATGGAGGGTATTCCGCTGAGTATTGTCTCTATTGTGGCTCTTTCAACTGTTGAAAGTCATGGAGGACTGCCCTATGAAATGACAAAACTTTTCTGAGTCTTACAAGGGAAGAATCCTAAGTTGAAATGGCCATTTAAAAATAGATATATACTGCTATCGTTTCTCATGCTCGGCTTATAATGGAAAAAAAACTAACTTTAAATCAAAGCACTTTTTATTTCAATGCATTAGTTATTTAGTTTCTTCTTCTAAAGCTGATTTTATTACAGGATCCGTTGATCGTTCGGGAAGCGCTATTGTAGCAATAACACCGACGGCTACTGATGTTCCTAGCACCACTCACAGTAAGAATTTTGCTGTTGCGATTCGAACTTTGAAGTCCTTTTTTTTCTTGTGGACTGCGTGAATGTGGAATTTTAATGATTTGTACGAGAAGACAGTCATTTGGAATAGCTCCGCTCCTACAGTAATCTATTATTATTCAATCACACTTTCAAACACTCCGAGAGGGCCCGTCATTCGAGGGATAAGTCCAGTCCTCTGACTGACGATGCTGTCCGTCTCACCCACACCTTTATGATAGTGCAGATGTGGGTGGAACGGTCAGTAACATCAAATTAGAGGATTTACTCCTCGAATGACAGTCCATCCCAGAGTTTTTGGAGGTGTCTTTAACTGAAACGGGTGGGATAGATGGTTGCGGCTCATGCTTGTGCCCTCAGTCATTCTCAGTCATGATTACCGATTTCAACACAGTAATCTCCTTCAGGAACATCCCGGTCGGATATGGGCAGTGTTCTATTCCAATATGAAAGTCTCGTCTCAGTCTTAGGTTACTTTTCCGAAATTATCAACGATTACTCCGCCGAGAAAGGCATATGTATCCTCATTGATGGCCGAAAAATGTCACCGAAAGCGTTGAAAAATGTTCTACGAGCTTGTCAGGTTGGCTCTAAAACGATTTTGGTTGTTAGCGATTTAATGACATAGCAGAAAATACTTCATTTCAATTTCATTTTTCAGCAAGCATTTTATCATAGAATACGTATGGCAATTATCGTTCAACCAGATAAATTCTTTCATCAACAAAAAATCAATTTCGATCTCATTATGGAAGGTTATGAATTTCGGGTAAGAAATTTTCGACTTTTTGAAAATTCGTTGAATTTCATTTCCTCTCTAGAATCCTGCTGTGCTTATGACTACACTTGACTTTGGAAATCAGTTACTGACCCATTCTGCCATAAGAAACGCAGAGGTTACTGCATACTTTACAGCCGGTCTCCCCTAGCTGTTGGTATCGGGCTACAGCGGGGCCTTATGCGTACCCGACCCAGCACTCGGTGTGGGGTGTGGTGCGTTAGGAACGAAATGGCCGCGTCACGGTGAGAGGGGCGTCGCGCGCGAAGGGATGTAGCAGGATGAGCAGTAGGTAAGAATTACAAGAACAAAGTCCTAATAGTAGAATTATGATAAAATAATGATCGCATATCTATTGAGCTGTATGAAGAACGCCAGAGCTGTAATAACGGCGAATGAGTGGTCCGCGACAGCCGCGTGCGGCGAATCGATTACCCAAAATCGTTCCTAAAGCCCGTCTCCCCTCGGTGTGGAGTCGTGAACCCTTGCCCTAAAGACTATAGCGCGCCCTGCCCTGTTTACCATGTGGCCGGCAGAGAGGCAAGACAGAAATGAACAAAAACAGAACGAAAGCATTAAATGTAGAACCTCCCTGAGGTCGGAATACATCGGTCGGTTATCACGTTGTTAATGAATTGGGAAATTTTCTTGGAAATTGGGTCCCTTGACTAATGGTGAGTTAGAAACCCTTGATCGAGTCAAAAACTGTCTATAGACTAACTTTGAAAATCCCTGAAAAGATCGCAGAACCATTTTCAGACACTGCTTGTATCTCTACATAAATTATCCAAATACATTGACATATCACAATTACCGGAGATCTTCGGTGGTACATTCACTTATGATGCTGAGAAATGGTGCGATGATCGAGAGGTAAACCTTCTTCATAGGTGTATTCGGCTTTTTATTCATTTATTGATCAAAGTCTAATTGGCTTTTATGCTTTAGAAAATCGAGGTTATGATGACTGAATTGAACAGTCTTGCGCAAGATGTCATTCAAGCTAATGGACGACTTCAGATTACTCCTGATGACCCAGTTATCGCGGAAGGTATCCTAAAGCTTCTTAATCAGTGCTATACATAAGTTCTTGCTCCGAGTTATTTCAAGCTTGAAGAAAAAGACCATTTAATCCTGTTGTTTATTTATCTATTTATTTGCTGTCGTCTTGAGATGATAGTGCAGGGGTAGGAGGGTCTGGATTCACTCTCGGGGTCAGCGTAGTGATCCCTTTTTCAATTTTCAATTCATATTCATTTTCCTTGATTTTTCTGGGTTTTTAAATTCTCGATTATTCTTTCAATTTTTCATGCTGTCTGGATATAATTCTGTCAATTGTAAAGGGGACATTCGACCTCACAAATATGCCATTTGAAAG